TAATTAATAGTACTTTTTAGTCAAAAAGTATGAAAAGTACTTAAAAAGGTTCACTTATAAGTACTTTTTCCTGTTTAAAATCTACTTTTGAAAGTACTTAATAGTTGGTTTTTGCCTACTTTTTTTTTACATGGGTGGCTTTAAGCAATAGTAAAAATTTGCCAAAATATTTAATTAAGTAAAGAAATGTTCAAAAGTAGCAAAAATCAAACAGCATCTACAACGTTTATCAAATAATTATATATTGAAAGCTAAGCAGGATATCTATTCTTTTTATTTTTATTTTAAAAAAATTTAGTTTTATTTGTTAGTGTTGTTTGTTAGTTTTGTTTGTTATTTTGCCATTACATGAGTTAATCGATCAGACGATAATGTGTATTTTTTATCTGTGAGATACCAAATGGCTGTACTTTTATGTAAATACTTTTGTTTTTCATCAATACGAACTAAGAAATAGGAGTCTTTCAGATCTGGATTAATGGTATTACGAACTCCTTTCATAGTCGGTAAACGATTATTTGTTGTTTGTGATGTTAAGATATCGTCATTGTCTTCATCGATACCATCGATACCATCGTAATCCTCCTCATCATCATATATATCCATTTCGTTTTGTTCGTTCTGTTCATCTTCCTCCGTAATACTTCCTTCCGAATCTGTGTCCGATTGAGCATTTTTTTCATCAATTAAGGTTGAAATTAGAAAATCTGCTTTTGTTGAGGTCATGGGAAGTGAGCCAAACTTTTGTGAACCAAAGTGCGCTACTGTCGACGTGTTTTAAAACCTTTCGCGTTGATAGTAGCGCACTTTGGTTCACAAAAGTTTGGTTCACTTCATATGACCTTTTGTTGAAGACTTTTTTAAATGATTGTATATATGTTCACTAACTTGTTTCATAGTAACATCTATTGATTGTGTAAGTACTTGTTTGATGCCCAATGGAACTAAAAGATTAAAAGCATCGCTGAACGCACGATCCACTTGTTCTTCAATTTGTTGCTTGGTAATTTTTTCTGGTTGCATTGTTGATTGTTTTGAATTTCGTTGTGTCTTGTGATGACTAGGAAATTTAAATGTAGTAGTTGCTAATGATGAATTTGTTTGAGCTTTGATATGATTTAAGAATGAAATCTTCTCTTGTCGATTAAGAAATTGTTGAATAGAAAAATTTACACAAGTAGAAAACGTTCCAGTTATGGATCTTGTTAGTTGAAAAAATCTCTCACAAGTTTGAGAATTGAAGAGGAATACATTTAATGTTTCAATTGGTAATTGATTTTCGGCAACCAATAACGTAAGATAAGTAAAATTGTGTGCATTAATTTCAAGACAAAAAACTCGGTGATGTAATGAAGAAATTTCGTTTTGTTGTTTTTTGTTTGAATTTATCTTTGGCAATTTCGGAAATATTATTCATTTCTGAAATATGTTTATCTAATTGTCGTTTGGGTATCAAATCAAGCCATGTACGCCACAATCGACATAGGAAAACGGCTAACCAGGCGTGATATATCCGGTCAGAAGTTGTTGTTGATGTATCAATGAATGCTATAATTACACAACGAATAATATTGATATATACGACTGTAGCATCCGAACCACTAATTTCTTTTAAATATTCTAATGCAGCACATAACTTTTCGCACGATCTATAATTTTGTTTGTCACGAGGACAGATGTCCGACTTGACCAAATTGTGCTTGAATTTCGATTGTGATTCAATAAGTTGCAATAAATAATCAATACTAATTACATTTTCACCCATCATCATAATAGCTGAAGATTGTAAAAGTCGATTACGAAGTTTGGTGCAAACGTGAGTTGCATCTTGCATGAATAAGAATAACTGTTCACGTGGTAAATAAAACCACGACCAAGAAGTTGGTACAGCAACCTTTAGTAATGAAGAGTGTTTTGATTTTGGGTTATTGATTAAGACACCAAAAAAACCAGAAACCAGCTTCATGGCTAATAAATACTTTGGATCAGTATCTGTTGAATATCCTACGATCCGTATACCTCGTGATGAACTTTCTTCAAAAATTGTATACCAACGACGAATAATATCAAGGGCAGTGTATTTTCCATTTGTTCCATATGCAGCTAATGCAAAAGAAGGACTGATTTGATTATTAATACATATTGGTTGGATCATATGTAAATTAAGTAAATGAGACATTTCTTTTTCTTCAAACCAACTTTTTAAATCTTCAATTGAGTTTGTTCGAAAATATTTAATGTGAGGCATACCATTTTCGTCGAGTGGTGGTGTAAATCCAATAAATGAATTTGATCGAACATCATATACGATTCTACGTAAAGTACTCGTACAATCTTCACTACAAAATGCAAATTTTGAATTAATTTCATTCATATATTTATTCATATCATCGTAGCGGAATTCACCTTCTAATGCACGAAATCCTGCTTTGGATAATTTTGCTTGAATTGTGATTAAGCTAGGTAATGCACCAGGCATATTAATACGTAAAAATTCATAAGCGTTGTGGCCTGCTAAAATAGATAAGCAGACAGCGAAATCAAGTACTTGTTCATTATAACGATATCGACTTTCGGCGACAGTTAAATTTGAAAGAAAGTTTTCAAGGAAGTAATGTAGAAAAGGTTTATCAGTTGAATGAGAATTTTGAGAAGATGTGATGAAGAAGTTGATTAAACCTTTGAGAAACGGATATTGTTGTAAAATCTCGAATGGTATTATTAAGTCATTTTCATCAGTAACAGCAGTTGTCATTTGTCCATTATTAATTGATGTATTTCGAAGGCTGTTCAATAATTTATCAACGTCGTGCTGGATTCCAATTTTGATTATACAACTACCATCAGAACGACAAAATGCTAATTTCTTCTTGACAATAGCTAATTCAACATAATCTTGCTGTAATGGTAAGAAAATATCATTAACATCAAGGAGTGAACGAACTGAACGAACACGAAGTAGTTGTAAATATTCTACAATATCTTCACCACAAAACTGTCCAACCAAATCAAAAAAGGCAGCATCTCGAAATTCAAGTACATTATGTGGAAATAAAAGCAGTGATTGAGTCATGTTATTATTTTTCTAAATGAATCAAAAGGTAGAATGAGCATAAATAGAAACGATCACTTGTATACTAAGAAAAAAAGAAAGAGATGTGATAAAAAATTTATTTTATTTATCAAAATTATAAATATGAGAAAGACAACAGTTTTCGATTTTTCTTTTCTTTTTTTTATATCTACTATCATTAAGTACTTTGTAGCAAGAAATTTCCTATCTTTATTAGAAAATTATTCTAAGCACCTGTAAAAAAACAAACATCAAAAGTAAATATCAGTCACTATTATTCATAAAAATTAAATATTGATAAAATAAAAATAAAAATTAAACTAATGAAATATCTAAGTTATCTGTTGTATTACGTCTAAGCTGTTCGAATCTTTTTCGTCGTTGTATGCTTAGATATTGTTCGTCGAGTTCTTTTTCGAACAGAAGTTATTGATATTTGTTGTAAAGAAGAAATAGAAGTTGAATCTTGAGTATCATCTTGTGTTGTATCACCAATTGAATCATTCATTATTTCAGTTAGAACCATCGAGCAACCTGATTTTAAATGACGAAAGTAATTTGATAACTATTAAAAAGAGAAAGAAAGAAAATTTTTATTGATGTCTTTTCAACTACATTTACTAATAAATAGTTCATATTCGGCCGATTTTGTAATTTTACTATGAAAATGCAAATATTTTACCTAACTTCAGTGCCATTCAAAGGTAAGAAATAAATATTTAGATTCTGAGGTTAAACATTCGACTTCCTACTACCTCACAACTACGTCTAATTTGTTGAAACAAACATGCCAGGAGACAGTAAATGTTTTGACAAATAGCCTTACTTTGAAATTGCCAGATTCAGCACGTAACAGAATGTATACTAAACCACATGAACATTTAATTTCAGCTTTATCAAGAGATGAAGTAAATTTTAAATGATAATGTACACCAGAAATAATATTAGAATCAGGAATTTTAATTGTATTTATATTTTGAATACACCAATCTTGAATAGAATTTTCAATAAGATCACGATGTCCATCTTCATCTTTTTCTGAAACGGATAAACCAGCAGTTGGATTAACATTAGATAAATTATTAGAACTGAATGATGAATGTAAACCAGTTGATTGAAATAAAGTCGGTTGCATACGTTTGGTTCTGACGACTTTTTTGCATTTCTTTCAAAAGTGTCTTAACATAATCAAGTGAACTTTTAATTCCTGGTCTGACTGTATATGTTCCATTTCGATTCTTGAAACCACATCGTGTATGAATTTCCTTCACGTCATCACTATCAAGTGCAAATATGGAATAAGCATCTTCAATGGAAAGAAATGTATCGACAGATCGTATAGATTGAATTGATAATAAGTCGGCTTCGTCTTTACCACAGAAGTTTTCAATAAATGTGTAAAAACGTTCGTTTGTATAAGTAAAAACGTCTTTTGGTAAACGAGATATGTCGACTGAAATACGTGTCATGTTGATCGTGTAGAAGATGAAATTGAACAATAGACATATACGAGAAAATAATTACTAAAGCAGACGACATTCTTATTGTCCGTCTAGATAACATATATGAAAGAAAGAAAAAAAAACGTTGAACGTTCATTATATCTAGGTCAATTAATTCATTCTTGCATCTCACTTAAGATCACAAACATTGTTATAGAAAGGTATTTATTTTAAGAAAAATTGTTTACATTTATATATAATACTTATTTGTAAGAATAAATAAAGCGAAAAAAAATAATATACAAATAATATATTAAAACTAAAGTGCCATGAATGGTTGTTCATAAATTGGAACAAGTGCGAAAATAAGAAAAAGAATTTTTTCTTATTTATCAGATATTCATATGCAAATAAAGTCTCTAATGATAACTGATTTTGCTTGCTTTCAGTTGTATAAATGATTTTCGATGACTTCGTGCAATTTTTACTGCTTTCACTGAATGACTTCCATAGTGATTCTACCAATTGATTCTATTGATTCTACATGATTCTATGTGATTCTGAGGGATTCTATTGATTCTACATGATTCTATGTGATTCTGACTGATTCTATTGATTCTGAGTGATTCCACAGATTCTGCGTGATTCTGTGGATTCTGAGTGATTCCATTGATTCTACAGCGATTCCAACGCTACAGAAACAGCTTTTTCCCCCTTGGCCAATCATATGTTTTCACAGCGCGATCTCGGCTAATCAGATTTTTTCATGCCGCGGTTCCACCCAATCAGGTTTTTTCATGCAGCGGTTTCGGCCAATCAAATGTTTTTATGCCGCGACTTCGACCAATCATGTTTCTTCACACCATGGTTTCGGCCATTCAAGTTTTTTTCATGCTGGGATTTTGGCCAATCAGATTTTTCCATCCCCCGATTTCGGCCAACCAGGTGTTTCCTGCTCAAACACCTGATTGACTGAAACCATTGTGAGAAAAAAATCTAATTGGCCGAAACAGCGGCATAGAGGAATCTGATTGGCCAAAACTGCGGCATGGAGGAATCTGATTGGCGAAAATCCTAGCATGAAAAAAATCTGATTGGCCGAAACCACTGTGTGAAAAAACTTGTTTGACCGAAATCGCGCTGTGAAAACATCTGATTGGCCGAAACCGCTGCATGAAAAAACCTGATTGGCAGAAATCGCGGCATAAAAAAATCTGATTGGCCAAAGCCGTCGTGAGAAAAAACCTCATTGGCCGAAACGGCGATGAGAAAAACCCAATGGGACGACATCATAGTGGACAGAGGTCATGATATTCGTACAGTTTCTGGAATCAATAGAATTATATAGAATCAATCGAATCATATAGAATCAATGGAATCAATGGAATCAATAGAATCAATGGAATCAATGGAATCAATAGAATCAATGGAACCATAGAATCAGCTTTTTTCCCCTTGATTTTACAATTTATTGTACAGAGTTGCTTTCGAAGAGTCGATAGAAAAACAGACATTATCGACACACAACTAGACCTTCTTTGCGAGTGATCATCAACACTAAAATGAAGCAGACAATCCAAACGACATCGCTTTTGTCTTCAACACAGCTTGTCACGTGGAGATAGAAACGTAAAAAAAGATTAATTTTTGCCTTTTCTTTTACTACATAATAAAAAGAAAAGAGAACAGGAAAGGGAATAATGCCAATTGAAACACATGCTGTAGCTTCGGTAGTGAAGCTACATCTATGCCTATACAGCAGGGTACCGATATATGCACAATCATTGTGTCATAGATATGTCACTGTCGTTTTTTACGAGATATATTGCTATTAGAGTCCATTCTTAGTTACTAGTTGCCGACTAATGAATGAATAAAATTATTCATATCAAATTAAAATGTCATGTGTTACGTCTCATGATTTTATTTGAAATGGATAATTAAAAATACATTTAATACATTGCGCATCGATTATTGAAGTGGATTGAATTTGTGCAAGATTTCTATGATTTGTTTTTGCAATCGAATTCAACAGACGATGTGCAATAGAAACTTGACAAAAAAATTGATCAAATTATAGCAAAGATTTGTAATATGAAATGCAATTATAATAGTTCATGCAAATACACATAGAAATTGAGCGCTGTACCTACATTTCCTAGGACAATCAGAAATCTTTTACCAATATTATTTAGATTAACTACACAGATTTCATATAAGTATATCGTGTTCGATGCAAAGTCTAACACTCCGATTACCACTCTATTGGAAGTCTTCGAATGTGACAGTTATCTATTCTATTAACTATACAGCAATGAACTCGGCTTTGCTCTTATTCGTATTCAAAGTGTTCGATCTACATGAAAATGAGTTCAAAGAAGATCTTCCTTTTCATTGATTTAGAAATATGAAATATGTACTTTTGTTAGCGAAATAATTTGGTCAATTCGGCATACATTCACAGCGTTTATCTAATATGCTTTTAGAATCAGAAGCAAAAATCGTTCAAAAAAAAATAATATGGGAAAGACTTATCTTGAGATAGTTACATCCAAACCCTTACTCATCCTCACCCTCAAATTGGTCTTGATTGAATCCATTATCTATGTGTTGTTGTTTTTTGTAAAAATGCGAGTTTTTGTGCTCATTTCATATATAATTAATTTGATGTTCATTTGTCTTATTATTTGTCTCATAAAAATATATTCAGTAAAAAAGAAGATTGAGAAATAAAATATAATGAAAAAATATTTTTCACAATATAATCGATAATATTTCGAATAAAATAATAACTAAAACATAATTCCAAAAATTCACATTAAATGTGGAATAAAACGTTTTATATCTTCTAAGCGAATTACTAATGGTTTATTTTCTTTAGGTTTCTTTGATCAACATTTACATATAAATCCTAATGTTTATATTTTCCTCTAAATATAAAATGTTTGGTAAACCAATTAAATGATATTTGTTTTCTGCTAAACAACTTTTATTCTGATATTCATAAGGATGAGTTCATTTTAATAAATATTTTAAATGCATCTTCTATATGTTTAATTCTGTTATCATCATTCGATGATCTTATACCCATTATTACTTTAATTAAACGATATTTAAATAGAAAGTTACTATTTCTAGATATCAATAATAAACCTCTTACATTTACAATTAAGACCTCCCACTAGAGCCCGTCGGGTAGGACCCGGACCCGGACCCTACCCGGACCCGCACGGGTCCGGGTCCGGGTCCGGGTCCAAAAATTTTACTTTGGCCGGGTCCGGGTCCAAAAATTTTATTTTGACCGGGTACGGGTCCGGGTCCGGGGCTGAAAATTTTGCTTTAACCGGATCCAGGTCTGAAGAAAACTTTGATCCATACAATTTATTTTTGAATTTTTTTAAAGTTTTGTTCGTTTTATACAAAGAAGAGATCAAATGTATTTAGAAAATAGATAAAAAACAACAAAACCCTTCTTGACTATACGATCTAAACTGACTTGTCATTGTGTTTGGATCCAAAAAACTTAAGCGACCGGGTCCGGGTCCGGGTCCAGCAACCTGTAAACGGGTCCGGGTCCGGATCCGGGTAGAAAAATTTTAAATGATCGGGTCCGGGTCCGGGTCCAAAATCCTGGGCCAGGGTCCGGGTCCGGGTCCAAAAATTCTGGACCCGACGGGCTCTACCTCCCACCCTAAAATATCAATTTTCGTCAAATTTTATGATTTTTTGATTTATAGCGCATTAGATAGAGCAAAGTGTCTGCTATCGAACGCACTATAGTTTATTGATTTTATGATGAGTTTTCGCGATGTAAAGTCAATTTTTCGGAAACCCCCTATTCTATTATCGCCGCCAAAATAAAATGAACGCGAAAGTTTTTTAAATAACTCGCGAAC